AAAAAAAGTGGTATCGTGCCATCTCTAATTTAAAGTATTAAATATTTTTTAAGACGCATCATCAGTTGTGGACCTTGGATTCATTGGGTGTTCTAACATAAAATGTTTTTCATCTGAAACGTTTTTACTGCGACAAATATTCAAAAAATAACAAATGTACCACACTGTGTACATCTGTGAGTGTTGCTTCAGCTTTTCAGTTATAAAGGGATGTGTTGAAATCCCCGAACACACCCACACCCGACGCTGGAAAGTGAATCATGTCTGCTCAGCACAAACCTGCACAAAGTTCTGCTTAGTCACAACCCAGAGTGAGCCTCTAATTAAGAAAACCAAACTCACAGGAATTTTAGGGGAATTCTTTGGATTTTTAAAAAACCTACTACAGACTTAAAGAATAAGGTCAGTAAGGTTTTAATGGTTACTTGCAAAACCTTTTCTTGTTGGTAAGAATAAATATGACTGATGTGCTAAAGGAAAATAATAAAACAGACGATACAGAAGAAGAAAAATTCACGTGTGATTTATTTGCAGTGTGCACAAAAAACAGAAGACCATTCTTAGGTTACAATTAGATGATTCACTTTGATGCTTGCTGTTTGGTAACATAACTTTGTACTAACTTTAGATAAATGTTAGCCCAGACACAAAGGTGCCAGGCGTTTCCTGAGCGCTTTCATTGATGACCAGAACATAACACCATCAAACAAAATGCAGCATCAAAAAGAAGTTAATGTTTACGTGACTGTGTTAGAAGTGTGTAGATGCACCTAATGGTGAAGCATTGTTTCACAGTTTGTAAGATATTAGTTTGGTGAATGCATAAAAATATCAATGAAAAACACGTTTATGCACTCAGTTTCACACGTTTTCAATAACAATATGAAAGAGTCACATTCTCTCATTTAGTAAGTAAGTGTTGTTAAGTATTCTTTCCACCAGACTGTGAATATAAATACCAGATTTTTGTTCTCAAGTTTTTGTAGCGCTAATTTATTATTTTTTTAACGTATAGACGTGTTCAATGTCCGGGAAACAAAAGATCAGAAGAAGAAGTTGCTTTCCAAACGGATTCCAGGCTCTCTTAATCACATCTTTCCTCTTACCTGTGGGAGAAAAATGTGAAAGTTCATGTCACATATTTAACCTCTGCATTCATGCATACTAACTAAAATTAGACCTGAAAAATTATAAAATAAGTGGAACTACAATGTGTTTTAGTTAAACATTTTCACTGTGTCGTCAGCTCCACGAGGCATGAGCGCAAATTTGATTTTAACCCTGGGATAAATTTTAACTGACATTAAAACCTCTGTTTGTTCCAAAGCAAAAGAAAAACTGGTTTGTCACCTTTAACCTGTTCGTTGCGCAGTAGCTCAGCCTTAATCCTCCACAGCGCTGTCATTTGTCTCGGATTGATCGATTCTTGCCTAGGCTCGTCTAAGGTGAATCTCTTAATTATTGCTTTTGCGCCATAAAGGAAAGCTTTGTCTGCGGTGCGTTTTATTTCCATCTGCACCCAGACACAATCTAAAGTTACGCGCCCCAAAACAAACAAAAACCCACGCATATCGAGGACTTTGTGGTGGCGGAGACCCGAGGTGAAGTTAAACTCGCGCTCGCTCTGTTGCAGGTTCAGCTGTCCGGTCCTGTCGGAGAAAAACAAACAAACTAAAGAAGACGCGGCGTATGCGCATGCTCATTAACGATGAGCTGACGTCTGACTGGAATCTGATTTGAGATGATTTCAGAAAGAAGCTTTAACACAGCGACCTCCGGTTTCCTCTAATAACGAATTGACATGAAAACAAAGCTCGCGAGTTCAGGCTGACACACTTCAAATACAGGGCGTAGATTTGGTT